AGGAGTTAGGACGGTTGTTAGTCGCCATGTGGGTGCTGGCATCAAACCCAGCACCCAAGAGCAGCCAGTGCTCTTAACCACTGAACAATCTCTCCAGTCCCCCACTTAGAACTTTTACAAAATGTTAAAGAAAAAAGACTAACATGTTAAATGATCATAACACAGCAAAAATGAGTGTTACATGAATAGAAGCACAAAGTGCTATAAGCTCCAGAAAGCAACACTGAAGTGAGCAGAGTTTCAAAAAGGGGTTTAAAAGATGTTTCAAGGCCAGCTGTGGTGTCACATGCCTTTAATCCCAGCACTTAGGAGGCAGAAGCCAGCCTGTGAGTTGGGAGGCCAGCCTGGTTTACAAAGTGAGTTCCAGGCCAGCTGAGGCTACAGGGAGACCCTGTCTCAAAAAGATTTAAAAACAAACACATACATAGCACCAGTGAAATGGTCCCATGGGGAAAGGCACTTGCCACAAAGTATGATGACCTGAGTTTGACTGGCTCTTGGAAGTGTATCCTTTTTCAATAAAGGATACTATCTCCATGTGCCTTAATTCTTTTTCCTAGGACCCAAGATCTGGAACCACCCCCCCAGTGGGTAGCCACTGAATCCTATAATCAGCTGATACCAAGACTAGCAGGATTGCTGCAAGTTTGAAGCCAGCCTGGTCTACAAAGCAAGTTCTAGGCCAGCTTGGGCTACATAGTAAGGCTCTTGCCGCCTCACAATGAAACAAAGCAAAAAAAGAAACAAGCAAAACAGAACAGAACAAAACAATCTTCAATGGCCCTAAACTACTAAGATTCAAATTTCTATTTATTTATTTACTTATTCATTTGGTCTTTTTGAGACAGGGTCTTCCTTTAGCCCCAGCTGGCTTGGAACTCACTACATAGACCAGACTTGGCCTTGAACTCACAAAGATCTGCCTGCCTCTGCCTCCCAAGTGCTGGAATTAAAGGTGTGTGCCACCACGCCCAGCTCAAATTTCTTTTTATTTTATTTCATGTGTATGAGTGTATTGCCTGTGTGTAAGTGCACCTGTGTCATGCCATGCCCACAAAGGTCAGAAGATGGTGTCAGATTCCCCTGGAACTGGAGTTACAGATGCTGTTAGCTGCCATGTGGGTGCTGAGTACTGAACCCGGGTCCTCTGCAAGAGCTCTAAACCACTGAGCTATCTCTCCAGCCCCCATATCCAAATTTCTCATTAGCTACTAGTGGAGACTTTGCTTAGCCCACCTCTGGCCCATCTCGAAAACCCCATCATTCCTGTGCCCCAGCCTGATCTTTCAGTTCCCTAAACCAACCAATCACCTTCTTATCTTAGGACTTTTCCATAGACAGTTCTCATTGCCTGGAGTGTTTTCACTTACCCCTCCTGGTTCCTTCAACAGGGTGATTCCTACTTACCCTCAGGAGAGCTCTAACTGAACCCCTCCCTCCCCCATTACATTACAACCATTCCTCCCACAAGCAGAATTGTTTGAAGACTATCTTTTTTTCCTTCATAATTCTGTGGGGAAATAAATTTCCCTGGATTTCTGTGTTCCAATCAAAAGCCCTAGAGGCCTCGCACCATTTCCACGTGCCACAAGAATGTTTTCATTTTTCTCTGATCTAAAGGGCAATAAAAATTTATTTTATTTCCCAGAAAAGTCTGAAAACTTATATCCTGGAATAGATCCCTAGGCTAAAGCCCCAAGGTGGCAGGAAGAGAAGTATAGCTACCGCTTCAGACATCTGCATGTAACAAAGGTAAACCACTGCACAAACTTGGTCTCCATGTTGTAAAAGCAGAGACCCACAAAACCGCCTGGGTCCTACCGAGATTTTCTTTTTTAATTTTATTTACTATTTTTATTTTATGTGTATGAGTGTATTGCCTGCATGTATATAAGTGCACCCATGTCATGCAATGCCCAAGGAGGTCAGAAGAGGGCATCAGGCCAAACCAAGAGATAAAGGTTATTTCCTCTCCCCTGTGTCTACAGTACTCAAACACTTTACAAAATAACATAAAACAAGAGCCAGACAATACGTAGATTTGGCTGTGAGCCAGCTGGATGATGCTTTCCTGGGAGAAAGTAACTGGGCCTCTAGTTGCTCACAGTTTCCATTCCAGCAGCTGTCTCGACATATTTGGCATAGATGAACACAAGTGACCCTCTAGAATTTAGAATATAGGGCTAGGAAAAGAACTCAGCCAGTAAAGTGCTTGCCCTGAAACCACAAGGGCCAGAGCTTGATCTCCAGTACCGACATAAAAAAGCCACGCTTGTAATCCAAGCATGGTTGAAGTCAAAACAGGCAGGCCAGGATCCCCAGGGCCTAGTAGCCAGCCAGCCTGATGTATTTGGCAAGTCCTAGGCCAGTGAGAGACCCTGTCTCAAACACACACACAAAGAACGTAGAATCTCTTTTCTGTCCTACAATCCTGGCTCAGCATGGGACTGGGAACACCTGACTAGTCTGCAGGGCACCTGCTCTGCTCTTACGACATCATTCTAGGGTCAGGATTAGGACAAAAGTGGGCCAACGAACACGTACACTAAGGGTAAAATTAATAAGGATAAATATTGAAACCTACCAAGTACTTAAACTATAATTAAGCACTTCTGAAACTGCTTCTTTAATGTTCATGATCGCTGACAGAATGTGAATTCTAGGTTTACAGTAGAGACTCCCAAAGTATTCATTTGTTCAACAAGTGAATGATAGATGGGACACACACAGATAATCATTTAAAACTTCAATAACCTTATACACTCTATCTGAAACTTCCATTATCTTGATTAGAATGACAAGAAAATAAAAATAGAGCTGTGCTCATTTTAGTTGCTCAAGAACAAATTAAATTTTATTGTCTGATACTAGGTCTGCTAAGCCTGTCTCAAAGAAAAAGAACCTTTGCCCTTCATGTCTTCTTATCTGCTTAATGCACCCACCTCCCCCAAACAGCATTCTAGTCTAATGTAGAGTAGCTCTGGGTAGAAAACCCTCAGGCCTTCTAGGTTTTCTTCAGGATGTTCCTAGTGGAAACCCATTCATTCTGAAGAGCCTAGGATCCAGAAACAGCATTTGCCTTG